GATAAAAAAATATTAAACAAAAAGAAAAACGAAAAGTGATTTAAAGGCGCAGTTAAAGGTTAGTTAATTGCGAAAGTGGCGTTAGAATTTAAAAATTCAGTTAGCTGGTAATAAATTGCGAAACCCAACACAGAACTAAACAAGAAAAACAAATAGAAACTAAGTAACCCTGAACTAGTTCAAAGGTAGAATTACCCATTGTGATGTTAGATTGAAGTGACATTCTTCCATGGATACTCCAGCAGGTAGTGGTTTTACAAAATGTCCACTTCCTTCATCTTCGAATTCGTTGTAGATGTAAATCATAAAACCAGTAAACTTATTGGACTGAGTGCCATTCAAGAAGACTAAAAATGGACAAAATGGACGTAAGAAAATTAGAGACGCGATCAAAAAAATCGGTGCGACAATAAAATGAGTAGTCCCTTCTGAGAGATCAAAGTCAATCTTTTTCGTACTCTGGTAAGTTTACAAACTGCCTTGACAAGCACACAGACAATGAGAAGGTCCTCGCCCCAGGGGGAGGGGGAACTCTCACATAAAAAAGAAAGGGGTTGCTCGTCGGAAATTTTGAAAAGAACCCCTAAGTGGTACCAAGATCTTGTTTCGTGGGCGTGGCCTGAAACGTTTTTCACCCATAAGAAGTACCAATTCTAAAACAACACATTACTCCTGACATATTTTTTCGGCTCAATACCCTAAAAGGTAGCGCAAAAGCTCCCGCTGTGGACCTTTTGAGACTGAATACCCTAAGAGGTACCAAAACCACGTTTTTAACTTCTAAAAGGTACGATGAACGTCCCCCTCATTTTTATATGAGTCCCCCCGGCGCGGGGTCCTCGCCAGGGGACTATACGAAAGCGGTTGCATGAGAGAATTTAATCATAAGTACAAACATCTTCCTCTCTTCCTCTGGACCCGTGTACAGATCTCACGACTTAAAAAGTTGTAATCAATAAAAAATGTTATGTTACTTGTGTACTTTTCGTGCCAGTCGTAGCGTCCTTTATTCTGGTACATATCGTCACGAACGGACTTTCCATCTCGTTGACGAATTACATCGAGTACATATGGAGGAGTTGAGGTTTGAGGCTCAACACCGCTTGGAAACCAATCTTCCACCATTCCACAAGGTTTGCGGACATCTGTCTTCACGTTCTGGATGTGTAAGAGAACAATGGCCCACATCGAAAGCAACTGCAAAAGTCGCGCCATTCTGTAGGGTGTCCTGTCGATCTTGTTCAAAATATCAGCCTGTGACAATGATAAAAACACGGCCAATATTAGAACGAAATTGTTTAGCTTTATTAATTTCTGCAAACTGCAGTAGCTATCAATAGCTGACTGCAATTTTAAGATTTTTAGTTAATCAATAGCTTGTTTGCATAGATATTCACAGCTGATTTCGGGCCGTTTGTCTAAAAGAAGCGAACTCTACTGCGCTTAGAGGAACCATAGTTAGTAGAGGAGGAACATAATCAATAAAGTAATAACAAAATGTTCATCGCCAGACTCGGTTGCGATGCCTCGATTTTACTTTTGAATATCTGCAACGGACAGCAATGCGGGTGAACTGAAGAGCCATTTTAGGACAATCATCCTTAAGATTTCGATCAAACACTACCAAACACTTTCGGCAACATTTCAGTTTAAACTGCGAGTCATAGGTTTATGTCAGTGTTAAGACTGATAAGATGAAAGAAGCATCAATATAGATAACTACAACAACATCCTAGCTTCAACAACAATGGCATTCGCAGTAGTCATACAACTATGAACAATGAATAATGATATCCTCGCATGCAAAAGTTAAAAAGAGCATCTTCACTGCGCGCGACAAAGAAATCTAATTGTTAGAAACAAGAAAACTCACGGTATTTCATCAATATCGACATAATAACAACCGGATAACACAAACCGAGATTCTCCAATGAAATCTCCTTATCAGTGAATTGGAAATTGAGCACACTTCATTCGTTCTCTCAGGGCAGCACACGCACACGCGAGCAGTCTGTCGAGTACGCTCTGTCAGCTGCTTAGGTGCGGCACGTCAGCAAAATTAGAAGTAAACAAGCCTATTGTGATGGAGATTTTACTTTGCAACAGCTGGAGAACTTGTATAAATATCTATATAGTTTATGTGACACTGTTGTGACTTTTTAAACTTTTCAATTTTGAAATTTTGACTGTAATTTTATCTTATATTCTGGACATAGTTTCATTTTAACTTTAACTTTGTATGTTTTAACTTTAATTCAGTCAGTTTATACAGAGGGCCACTAGTTAACAAGCGTTTTATTTACCAATGCATGTTTCATTTTAATTAGTTTAGATAGAGGGCAACAAGTTTTCTGTTGTATGTGTTTCTTCACAATTAAGTGCCGCTCTCTTTTTATAAAATTTTTCCTTTCCCTTCAATTCCTTTAATTTGTTTTACGTGGGAGGAATTTTAAAACGGTAGTTTCACTCCGAAAACGCATCAAATGTTTTCCGTCCACACTACGCCGGAGAAATTTAAAAACGCAGCAATCACCGGTCATTTTGGATTCGTGTCTGAGGAAAACTCGGTCAGGGAAACTCACATGATTTTCGTGAAGCCATCGTTTTAGAAAAGTTCCGTTTTCAAATTGTTTTCCGTCCACACGAAAACGAAAGCCCGGCGTTTCAAATTCCTCCGGTTCGATGAGCGTTTTCGTAAAGCTCCGTTTTAGTGACGGACTAGTGTAGACCGTAGGACCGCGGAAATAAAGCTGCGTTTTCAAATTTCTCCGGCGTAGTTTGGACGCTGACTCAGTATTCTGACATCATGGAGCTCGTATTTAAGCCACCGTGACAGCTGTACAAATCTACGGAATAAAACAAGCAAAATATTGCAAACAAACGGGTCGATAGAATATAGTTTTTTTAGCATAGTTTTGATTCTTTCTCCAGTGATTGTAACATGATGTACACTTGTGAAGTTAAATATGATTTGCAAGGACTGAAACAATGTCGGTTCGATCGTTACCATCTGATTGTCTGCATTGTACTTTGTGTGTAATGAATTGCGGTTTAGCAGGTCTCGTATCCTGTACATTCAATTTCTCAGTAGTTGGCCATAAGCGTGAGTTAGGGAATAGAAAGAAAATTAGTAACGAAATATATGAAGTAGTTCGTTGGTAATTTATTGGCCAGTGAATTCAGTTTTTCCAGGAGTTCATTTTAGTTCCGATTTCAGAATTATACGTACTCACCTTTAGCTGCACTCGCAGCTCAGACCTGAGATGTGTGTTCCATTTATCAAATATAATTATATGAACTACAAATCATACATTACTAAGGTAGGTAGAACCTACAAATATTTACTTTTCCAGCCGTGAAACTAACATAAAATGGTTTAGTATTAAGCTCCCTCCAGCGGGCGCGAATTCTATTTTACAGTACTGCATTACGTATACTTTGTTTTGACATGCTGAAACTCAAAATACTTATTACGGCGCTTAACTGAATTGAAAGAAAATTATCTTTAGTGTGGATTTTTCATGATGTCACAGACGGAAAATGAGAATACTATCAATATTTCTGTAGCAGAATGATCTTTAATCTTACCTGCTCGTATCCCGATAGCGTTCACTTCGAGCAAGATTCTGTTCACTCCCTTTCTACCGGAGCGTACGAAAATGTTTATCCTGATAACTAAGAGGAGAACTGGAGCGTGACTTGCTAATACGGGATTATGTTTATATATGTAAATCTATGTTCTTGTATTGGAAAGCAAGCTGACAATACTCCGAGTGAAATTTAAAAAGGTTCACACGATTCCAATAAATGGCGCGCCATAGGGACCGTAATCTCGTGCCGGTAGTACGGCTTAACAGATGATTTGCTGCGCTCTCCGTAAGGTATATCTTGGGTTTATTTTACTAAACTGAATTGAAAGATGTTCAGGAAATGAGAATTCGTTTCTGTTCAGAATGCTTTCTCCAGTGCGAATTCGAAACCCCATCCAGCCGCAGAAATCTGAACTGTTTAAAAAACGATTACGCGGAACGCGAAATGATTGGATGTAAATAGATATGTCAACTTTGATGGTGCTATCACGAGGAAGTTAACTGGGGAGATAAACAAAACCAATTAGGTGGTTAAGTTAAAACTGCGTCTACGCCATTCATGTCCCAAAGATTTGAAACGGACTAGAATTATGATTTTAGCTGTAGATAGACCTCCAATGTTTGCCGCAATAAAGACAAGCAAGAAATGTTGTTTTTTCAGTTGCAATATATAAAAGAAGAAAAGTTAACTTTAACTTAAACAAGTTCACCAACTGCATATCGTAAGAATAATTTAGGGGATGGGGGCGGTAAGATCAGTGTTTAGATAATGCAATTTATGTTCCTCGGTAAGAAAAAAACGTTAGATAGGCCCACCTTATGTAGCGCGTACGTGATGATTAGGAGTAAATTGATGACAGTAATTACATAGCGCTATTACATACTAATTTCCCAATTATCGTTATGTCGTCACAAAAGGTAATGGAAAATAAGTAATTAGCCGTGACGATCACGTGACGGTCCCGGGACCGTGATGAACGTCACAGGTGCCCACCGTCACGGCAATATCGATGAAGTAGTGCTAATTGCCACATGAGCAAAAAAACCTTTGTTAAACTGTCTGTCGTGCAAGGGATCATCTCAAAGCCCAACTAAGTCATTAGCATCATTAGCACTGAATCATTGTTTACTACAGGTATTTGCTCAATAAAGGAAATCGTTCTTCGCGAGAAGTTTGTAAACGCAAGCCCAAAATGAGGAAAAGCGCGGCCGTGCGCTTTCACTATTGCGAATTCAAAACTTGATACACTTGCAGAAGCTATAAATTATGAAAGGAGAACGCGAAGTAAGTATTGGATGAAAGCCCTAGCTTATTTACACGAAAATGTCAACTTTAAATACTTGTGAAATGCTCGTGGCTAGTCTGACGCGGCGTTTCGTCTCGGCCAAGAGACTCAACGAGTTTGCCTTTGAATTCTAAAGGTCTCTGAAGACTAGCCACGAACATTTCACAAGTATTTGACAATTGTTTGCTTTTGTATAAATGTTAACTTTGAAGAAAAATAATTATAATGCCGATAAAGTTTAAACTGGCTTCTACGTCTGTTATATTAAAAAAGATCAGTTGAAACGGACTGGAATTAAAAACAAGCAAGAAACGCTTTTTACAGGTGTGAAAAAAAAGAAAGAATCAGATAAAATTTATAGAATTAAACGGTTTAATTCAAATTAAAGGTTTGATTAAGGGAACTCCGGGAATGTTAGCACTACGCTTACTTACTTAGTACTTTATGTTTCTGACCATTTTAAAAGTGCTCCTTTACGGTCATTGAATTGCATAAGTCAGTGGATCTTGCTTAATCCGCGAAAGAGGGATTATGAATATTTGTCACTGATGGTAATATTTTTTGCGATATCGATGCATTAGGACCGGGCATGAGGACAAAAGGAGAGGTGAAAAACTCTGTTAACTGCTGTCGTACAGAGGGATTAACTAGGAGCGAACTAAATTCGATCTATTTAGACTGTCGTACAGATAAGGTGAAAGGTCATAAAAAATTTCAATACAAGAATCAAAGACAAGACGTCTTTATCCATCTAGATATCCGTTTTTATTCATTCGATGTCATCTTTATTTGAGTTTTTGGAACCAAGCTCCTCACTAGCTACAGTGTTAATTAAAACGACTCTATTTTCTAATTCGACTGTCGTACAGATGAGGTGAAAGGTTAATAAAATTTCAATACAAGAATCAAAGACAAGACGTCTTTATCCATATACATCCGTATTTATCCATTCGATGTCATCTTTATTTGATTTTTCAGAACCAAGCTCCTCACTAGCTACGGTGCTAATTAAAACGACTCCATGTACTCAAATCATTGAGATACTACAGGTATTTGGCTCAATAAAGGAAATCATTTTAAGGGAAAATTTAAGCGCAAGCCCGGTTATTAACAATAAACAGTTCGAAGCACTGTACGTGTCTACCTTGTGTGCATGGCATTAAGAAGGCGTTCAGAATTTGATGATGTAGGCTGGAACAGCAAAGCTTGAAAAACACCTATAGGGGCTATGCTAATAGTGGCTGAAAATTATGCCCTGTGGGCGTTGAAAATGTTCAAAATGCTACATAAGCTTCCAAGTGCTATGCTACCTTTTAATTATGGTTCGTTTTCAAAGAAATTAGTAAAGCCGCAGGTGCGAGTAAAACTAGAAATAAGCTCCTACATGCCATAATCTCTGTTGTCAGCCCTCGACAGCACTATCTGAGGTTAATCCATGAAAAGATACATAAACATAACACCCATCGGCAAACCACCAATTGACTTTCCCCCGCAGCTGTAAGATGTTGGACTTTTCCCAGATGGACTAGCTGTTTCGTGGAGTGGTTCGTGTTGAAAGCTACGACTCAACACTGCAAGACAAGTTCACCATAAGGTAGCCATCTTTCATATGTTACTTAAATTTAGTGTCTAGTTTTCCAAAATTAAAAAAATACGTTTCTTCACCATCAGGGATTGGAAGTAGAACAAGATGTGTCTAGAAGTGACAATCGTTACCTAAAAATGGGCACTTTTTACCAGTTCAAACCTTTTTAGGCCGCCGTTCTTTGAATAGGGAAGTTTCCCGGTCGGGCCTCGGGTAGGATGCACTAATTACAAAGAATCATAAAAGTTTTGATCTCTAACCAAGCAATGAGTTTTGCAACGAATATTGGCAGCGTTCAGTTATCAAGCTTGGGTCATTAAAACTCGATACGTTCTCTTCCGGCATAACCGCTACGTGAAAAAAAACATTGCAATCTATATCCGTCAGGAAAAGAAAACTAGGCAAAGTAAAGCTGATTTGTCTCTCGTGTAAAGTGGAGAACAAAGAGAGGGCTACAAGCAGCTCTGAATAGCCGGGAAAACCTGTAAATTTGAATAATAATTCAAAAACGAATTCCGATCAAATAAACATCGCTACCTTTAATATGTTCTCCCACGATAGAAACTGGAAAATTATATAATTTCCTCATTGTAACTCTCCTCCTAGTTGGGCTTCAAGAAATCACTTTTATCACTACTGTTTTTATGAAATTTGTTACACGGAACTTCAACGAGCAGAAACGAACAAGCTTCAATCAGTAACTCGGCAAGAACCAACTATCGATTCATGATGATTGTCAGTTTGTCAGCAAAATATAAAAACCGATGATAAAAAGAAGGCCCAGGACGCTGCCAGTTATTGCTCGTGCACCTGCAGAGATATATAGAAAAAAAAACGATAAATGGGTCACTTTTCTGTACTCCAGTCACTTCATGCATCAGAAACAAACTGACCTATATATAGTCAGTAGTCTTGTAACTACTCAACTCGTTTAGTTTTTACTATTTTGAGTACTTTTTTTTCTTATTTAAGTTTAATGTATTCTTTTACTGAATGATATTCTCAGTATTATGCAAAATAAAATGGTTGTTGTTGTTGTTGCTGTTGTTGTAGTCCTGACACTGAGGAGTAACGTAGCTGCTTCAAAACCTCGGATAGGAATCGATCAGACTTGGACTCCCATATAAAAAGGACGGGGATGCTTGTCGGAAATTTTAAAAAGATTTCCCTCAGAGGTACCAAGATCCTGTCCTGTGGGCGTGGCTTAATTTTTTTTTTACCCCTAAGAGGTACCAATTCTAAAGAAACACACCAACTGACACCGACTTGTTTCGGCTCAATACCCTGAAAGGTCCTGCCACAAAAGCTCCTACTGTGGACCTTTTGAGGCTTAATATATACCCGAAGAGGTACCAAATCCGCTTTTTTAAGCCCTGAAAGGTATAGGACGAGCACAACCGTCCTTTTATACGGGAGTCCCCCCGGAGCCAAGGGGACCGATCCGTATTGCATACATAAAGGTACACTCACCCGCGCAGGTGCAAGTTGTACAGCCGAACTTTGTCTTGGCATAACCGTTTGGACATCTGTTAGAACATCGTGGACCAGCGCAGTGATCTGCAGCATATCAAGAAAAACGACACGTTAAAACGGCGCTGTTCATTGCGCTTTGATGAACTTAATCCGGAAAATTTGTTAGGCTGATTTTCCTGTGAAACTTTAATTTATATGTTACAAATCCAGCAGCCAGTGCTATGAAATTCATCAGAAAACCCTTAAATATTTGAATTAAGTGTAAAATACGAGGTGTAAAATCAGTGTAGCGGCAGAAGTTAACTGATGGCTTTATCTCATGGAGGTAATTTTCATTGTGAGGTAGGACACGGCGGGAATGACCACGACAGTATTGAAATGAACTGTTAAACGAAGCATGGTTCATTCATGTCTTAACATCTTTCTCCGCAGTTCAAATATATTTTGTCTTTTGTATATTCACTGAAGTTGATCGCATGTATTTATAGTCGTTTTGGCTCGCTCACACTAAGATGTCTAAGATGCCGTATATCAGCCGTGTGTATGCCATAAATGATGTACAAAATGTAACTCATGTTGTCAGTTCTGGTAGCTAGATTGCATTATAATACGGTTGGAGTTTTCAGTGAAATCTCTCGTCTTAAATATAGTGAACAACTGAAAGATCCTAAAACAAAGGCAACGACAAAGCAACTTACAACCCATTGTGACACTGACACCTTCCCAGTACACCCCGTGTTCCTTCACCACGCTGGCACTTCATGTATTAAATATAAATAGAATATATTACTTCATTGCATTTACGTAGACGGGTCTTGAAGACTCTCAATGGTGCTCTGCTCATTATCAGTTCGGTTATTTTTTAAGATGCGATTTATAAATTCAAAGAAAAAAATGGAAAGGTTAAATTTGGCTAAAACTTACTTCAACATTGTTCAAAATTATTAGAACTTTATCATTAAAAAAATATCTCTATCCTTTAGGGTTATTTTTGTTGTTGTTGGTTTAAAATCACGTCCGTGCGTTTTTAAACTTGTGATTTAGCAATTAATGACATGTTATTATACATCTCATTACCATATACGGTGACAGGTAACTGTTGAGGATTTTTTGAGTTTGGAGCACCTTGCAGTTCACATGCACACACTGGCAAATTTCTTGTTGAGCTAACAGTCAGAGTTATTTTTTCTGAAAATAATTCTACCTGACGAATAGACTAGCTGAGTTTGGCGGCCGCTGTACCTTATGGTAATCTTGCCAGCAGGGTATTTCTCTGGAGCTCTCCATTTCAGGTCAATACTTGTCCATTCGTTGCCACTTGTCGAGTTTTTCACAACCTCAATCTGAGAAAAAGGGTGAGGTAACTAATGTACCTTTGATTGTTTAATACGCAAGTTATTTTTAAGTGCAAAATAAGGGTCCATTATGAAGCGCGAGCACACTCGCATAGCGCGGTTTTTCGTTGCTTTTTGCTCCGCGCTCACCCTTTCGCTACACTCGCTTCCACTGATTTAAGGGGCACAGTCATGGTATTTTGAGCCACGTACAGAATTGAAGGAAACCTGAAAGTAATAGTTTAATAAGATAGAAAAACACTAAAGAGATAATAATAAACCATAAAGGAACAAGGATGGCTATGGATGGAGAAGATTGACGTGGATTACAAACGCCTAACTTGAAAAATTTAGGCTAAATCTTNTCGGTTATTTTTCAAGATGCGATTTGTAAGTTCAAAGAAAAAAAATGGAAAGGTTAAATTTGGCTAAAACCTACTTCAACATTGTTCAAAGTTAGTAGAACTTTATCAGTAGAAAAATATATCTATCCTTTAGGGTTATTTTTGCTGTTGTTGGTTTAAAATCACGTCAGTGCGTTTTTAAGCTTGCAATTTAGCAATCAATGACATGTTATTATACATCTCATTACCAGATACGGTGACAGGTAACTGTTGAGGTTTTTTTGAATTTGGTACACCTTGCAGTTCACACCGGCAAATTTCTTGTTGAGCTAACAGTCAGGGTTATTTTTTCTGAAAATAATTCGACCTGACGAATATACTAGCTGCGTTTGGCGGCCGCTGTACCTTATGGTAATTTTGCCAGCAGGGTGTTTCTTTGGAGCTCTCCATTTCAGGTCAATACTTGTCCATTCTTTACCACTTGTCGAGTTTTTCACAACCTCAATCTGAGAAAAAGGGTGAGGTAACTAATGTACCTTTGACTGTTTAATACGCAAGTTATTTTTAAGTGCAAAATAATGGTCCATTATGAAGCGCGAGCACACTCGCATAGCGCGGTTTTTCGTTGCTTTTTGCTCCGCGCTCACCCTTTCGCTACACTCGCTTCCATTGATTAAGGGGCACAGTCATGGTATTTTGAGCCGTTGATTTAACCACGTACCCAATTGAAGGAAACCTGAAAGTAATAGACAAGTTCACTAAGATAGAAAAACAACAAAGAGATAATAATAAACCATAAAGAAACAATGATGGCTAAGGATGGAGAAGATTGACATGGATTACAAACGCCGAACTTGAAAAATTTAGGCTAAATCTTTTCAAGGTTCTCAAACCATGATGTGGCTCCTTTAATATAGCCTTTACTTCACTTTTTGCCTTACCATTTGAGATGTTTGATTCTTGCATTCCATCCTCGAGGCTCCATCAGGAAATGGTGCTATGAAATTTCCATTCTCTTCATCGTCAAACTCGTTCTTGGCAGTGATCAAGAAGCCAATGAACTTTTCTGTGTCATTACCAGACATCAACCCACTCAGCCTCACTATGAATCACAGGGTGTAGTGTTAAGATGGCGTTACAAGTCAGAGTATAGGTAGAGGTAGATACAGAGGGAGAGTTAGCCCCGTACGTACAGTACGTACAGCTAGCCGGACGCAGAATCGAAGTTGAACTAAAGGAGCAAACAAATACCGATTTGCCTGCAGAGTTTAAGACCATCCAGTCATACAAATAAGCACTCACCAGCAAATAAGCGTTTCTAAAATAATTTTCTAGTGACTCTAGTTGCGGAAAAGTACGGTCGTGTTTGTCAAAAAACATATTTATCTCGTGAAGTAAAAGTATTACATAAAGTGTTTACATATATCAATGTTT